TCAAATGAAATATTTGTATTTTTTAAAATACATATTTTCTTTGTAAATTTAATTGTATCATTAACAACGAGAGAGGTATTATAAGTTATAATTGTTTTTAAGTGATTGACCTTGTATATAGTTCCAGTTTACTAAAAATTACTGTAGACATTGAGTGACAAAATAATTCAAATTCAAATAACAATTTTACGAATGAAATATAAAATTTGTATGTCTCTTCGGTTACAGGCGGCACAATACGTCGGAGAGATGTGTCGTTACTTATTAAATGCTCCGCCCCGAGCAGAGGATAATGCCCATCGTTTGAGACTCATGTTTGGAAACGGCATGAGGCCACAAATTTGGAGCGAATTTGTTAAACGCTTCAATATTAGCCGAGTTACCGAGTTCTACGGATCCAGCGAAGGAAACGCGAACATTGGTAATTATCAACTTTTTCGGAGTCATATGAACAAGATACATATTTTATAATTTTATACATCCTATAAAATAAATTTACCTCAATTCGTCCCTTAAGAAATTTTATTAAAATCAATTGAAAGTTTCCGCTTTGGTATTTATTGTAAAATTTGTCTAAATCAAATTATAGTGAACGTGGATGGTCGCACTGGTGCTGTTGGTTTTGTACCACTAATTGTACCTAGATCATTTCATCCTGTGGCAATAATTCGTGTGAATAGAGAGACCTACGAACCAGTTAGAGGCTCTAATGGATTGTGTATAAGAGCGGATATAAGTAAGAACGTAGTAATTATATTAATATATTAGCAATGAGAAAAGTTTCCCATTCATGATAAAATTTATCCGTGTTTTAGATGAACCAGGTATGTTTATAGGATTAATAAAAGAAGGGAACGCTTCGAGAGAATTCAATGGGTATTTAGATAAGGAAGCATCAAAAAAGAAGATAATAGAGAATGTGTTTGTTAAAGGCGATAAGGCTTTCCTGACAGGTGAGTTGCACTGAGAAAATTAAGACTAGTTGTAGGAAAGCTTTGTAATCAAACTTTCCTTATTTGAAATAATTTTTTTTTCTTTTCAGGTGATATATTAATACAAGATGAATACGGTTACATTTACTTTAAAGACAGAGTAGGAGATACATTTAGGTGGAAAGGAGAAAATGTTGCCACCGCAGAAGTAGAAGGTGTTATTAGTAATATTGCCGGGCAGCGGGATGCTACTGTCTATGGAGTTCAGGTTTGTAATTTTAGGAGCGTAATACATTAATTTTTGTCAAGCCACCATTTAATTTATCATATATTTTTATTACTTTCTCAAAAATTCATTGAAATCTGACGTATTATACTTGACGTAATTCGAGTTTATTCCCTCTTGAAGATAATTGCTTGAAAGTATTTATTGTTATTTTTTAAGGTGCCTGGAATGGAAGGGAGGGCAGGCATGGCAGCAATAGTCGATCCAGATAGCCTATTAGATTTCAAGGCCCTTGCGCAAGGTTTGGAGAAAGCTCTACCAGCGTATGCAAGACCAATCTTCTTACGAATTGTGAAAGAACTTGAAATGACAGGAACATTCAAATTGAAAAAAGTGAATCTACAAAAGGAAGGCTTCGATCCTAGCAAAGTGCAAGACAAGATGTACTTCCTTTCCGGAAATAAGGAGTACATCGAAATTACACCTGAACTTTATCAAGAAATCATATCCGGCTCAAGGAAGTTCTAGTCGTTGTGTTAATGCTTCTCAAACAACTTGTAAGCGTTGGAAATATTTTTAAAAGTTAGACGTATAATTTTTTTTACGATGTGAACATGACTTTATGCACGCGCCTTGTAGATACAATGCATAGGATTTTATAATATTACATAAACCATTGAACTTAGGTGGAAGTTTTCGGACAATGTTATTTTTATGAAAGCTCAAAAGAAGCTTGTGTAGTAAGGAATTTCTGTCACAAAGAGAGTTCGATTTTGCCAACAGTCACATTGAAACGAACGAATATGGTGACATGTTCCTGTATATTTTATAAATATTCTGTACATTTTTAAATGAATGAATGATGTGTAGTATAAGAAAAATTGGCATTGTAGATA